TTAAGCAAAAAGAATGGTAAATTCTATAGCTGGACGATGGAAAAGGTAAGGAGCGGGTTAAATGTCCTTTTTTGTTTAACTTGGGGGATTCCATGAGATATTTATCAGGTCAGGGTGTTATTTGGAACAATAATTTTAGTAGCAGGGTGTATGTCTTTTTCTCGAAAGAAAATGGGAAGACCTATTGCACCTCTGCCTAGGGTTACCCTTTTAGGATGTAGCACAACCCACACCCGATTACCGAACCAATGGTGCACTCTAATCCTTTGGTCCTGCTGAATCCTTTGAACTAAGAAGCACATTTGAAATACCCTTTCACATAACTATGGCTCTGAGAGGACAGACTAGGAAATTAGGGTTTCACTAGCCCTTCTAATCCTTCGAGGCCTGCAGCTAAGTAGGATCTCCCCTTAATAAGACAGAGTTGGGCATAACCCCTGCTCCTTAAACAAGGATGGCGTGCCAACCTAGGCTCCTATGGGTGGGGCATGACCCACTAGAGAGAGGAGAAAGAGACAGCTAGAGAGAGAGAAAGAGAAAAGAGAGATATATATGAAGGTTAGGCCATGAGAATGATGGGAGGACCTCCCCTATATAGACCTCAAGGTCCTTAGGTATTCCTATCTCAATTAGGATTCAGTTTGACCAAAACATTTCTTAAAAATCGGTGAGGTGAGAAGAGAAACTAATCAGAGCATCTTTGAAATCAGCAATCATGATTTAGGAAGAAATCTATGAACCTTATCTCCTAAATCTTTGACCCATATCCACTTTTAGTTGGACTAGAACTAGATCTTCCATAGTCCCATAAAATTTTAACTCTTATTCACATAGAAATAAGTTCTAATATCATTAGAAATCAACATAAAGATCCAATTTTAAGTCAAAGAAGTCAAGGTCAAAATTTAAAGTCATAAGAATATATTTTCAACCAACTAAATTTTTTATTTTTTTCTTTTTTTCTTTTTTTGGGTAGATCAATGGGGAATAAAAGCCCCTACCCATTTTTAGAAATAGTTAGTCGTTTTTCAAATATGTCAATGGGAATAGAAACCTAGACCTGTAGCCGAGGCTGAGGTGGAACTAGCACCACGACCTCAGCCCCACTCCCAATTAAATATTTTATTATCCTCAGAACTCCATAATATTTGAGAAACAAGTCGAGCGTCACCTAGGTGGGGCATGGGGCCCATGTGGACCCACATCCCACCCCATGAGGGAACTAGGGCCATAGCCTCCCATGTGGGTCCCATCCCCTCTTAATTTCCAAAATATCAATGCAACCCTTTTAAGGGTTTTCATGCAAAAACTATTTTAAAAAAAATTCTAAAAATATATTTAAAAAATCACATGAGCATAAATAAATATGAAAACAATATTTTTTATGGTCTTTCTGAAATGGATTAGTACCAATGGGTCAAGAAAAATGATTGTTAGGGCACTCCAGCCATACCAAGATCCATGATCCTCAACTATCTTCTCAAACCAACCCAACGGAACCCATGACCCACAATCATGCGCAGGGATTGGCATGTCAAAGCTAGCCAATAAATAGTAGAACCATGATCCTAATATGTGAATTACAAGTTCCCCCCTAAGAGCAAGCCACATACACAAATCACTAGTGCAAGAGGGACTCTCTATGCACATGTACATGTATCATCTAGATGGTTGCTTCCCAAAATACGGTTGTCATATGGACATTGCCATACAGAAGTTTTGTTAGGGATTTAGCCATCGCTCTCACAAGCCTACAACCTCACATAGGAGAGCATGAAGCTCTTTTGGCCTACAAACATTATCCCTAGGTTTCTATCTAACCTCAACATGGGATGCCCCTCCAGATAACCTTTTGGGTAGTGCCTATGCCTAAGGAAAAGGGTTCTAGAGATGACCTCGGCCATAGACTGCCTTTAGCGGTAGTCCCACTAAAGTGCACAATCTATTATATTTATTGGTGCTACATGCTCTTATGGGCTTTAAAGACTACAAGCCACAACAGCAATGACCTACCAATTGCTCCATTGCATTGAACCTTCTCAACATGCCCTCGTATTCTGCCCTTGGCACGATACCTCCTCCTTAATATCCACAGCCTCCACGTCCTATTCTATTCGCCATAACTCTAGGTCCAAAAGAGAGGGTTCCCCCTCTGATACCACTTGATGTAGAACAGAGAGAAAAGAGAGAGAAACAGTTCACAATCAATTAGAAATTGAGAGATTTAAGTTGTGGTTCAAAGACAATAATTGAAGCTAACAAAGCCTAACTTCAATAGTTTGTATGGGGTCCAAGAACCACCCAAAATGGGAACTATGTTCCTGATTTCTTAAATTACAGAAACAAAATTAAATTCTAGCAAGGGAAAAGTCTTACTCTTTTAATAGACTTGCCTTGGCTCGAGAGCCAAAGTTCTCTTAGTTTTCCTAGGAATAGTAATAGACAATAACCCTTCGCAAGCCATGCACAATACCTCTTCCAAGCAGATTTTTAATTCAAATTCTGACATTTTCCCTCCAAAGTTTCATATGCCCAAAATGTAAGTGAAAACCCCTTGGCTTTTCTGTAAATCCCAGAAAAGTCCATTACAAAGAAAAATGCACGAGATACCCATGTCTAACCAAAAAAACTAAAAGAGAACACAGTCCACAAAATGTTAGCAACACTTTATTTTGTTTCCTGCATTACCACCTTAGCCAAATTATCCATCATTGTGTTTGCCAACGTAGAATGTATAAAATATTGAACGAGAAATGTTGGATGTAAGGTCCTCAATATCCACAAAGTTGTCATCTAGTTTCAATGGATCGGGGACTCTTTCCTGCCCTTGATGTCATCGGGACCTCACCAATACAGGAAAATCCTACAACCATATAAATGCAGCTCGTGTGTGACCACATGCAATTAACTATTCTTAATGATCCTGTGTGCACTTTAGGATATCACCCTCCCTTTTCCAAGTAAATCCTATTCATGGGGAAAAGAAAAGTGCCCTAAGTTTCTCTCTACATGACCATCAGAACTAACATAAAAACACCACTCAGCTGGGGGAGCATACTAGTAACAGATTTTCGAAGGGGAGAACTGTTATCAAAATAAATATTCAATTCAACAGTTCGCAGGGGAAACTTTAGTTTCAGTTTTTCTTGTTATTTGGGCACGGTTTTTAGTTTTTACTGAAGGCTTGTAGAGAGTCATCCTTTTCTCTCAAGATTTTATTCTACTTGAATATACTTCAGTATGTCTGGCACGTCTTCTAATTTAGTCCAAAATCTAAAGTTTAAAAATCTTCAAATCTGTGTAAACTTGAACCCCTTTGTTTATGTATTTGTTCAGCTGAGTTCAGTGTTATTCTACGACATTTGAGCTATTGCAAACTCATGGCTCATGGTTGAGATGAAGGGTGAGATAATTTGAGTATTTATCGTTCATCCTACAAATTCTGATTCATAATGGAATTTTTAAAATAAATGTGTATCCATGCGTCAAGTGATTAAAAGCTGGAAAAACAAAGATTCTCCTCGCTTGACAAAGAGATCATAAACTCCAGATTTAGTGATTGTTATCAGAGCGCAACCAAGAAATGAACTTGTTAACGACAAAAGTAACCATTATCTTTTGGATTTGGCTTTGAAGTATTCCATAGAGTAGAACACAATAACTTATGAGAGAATGCAGGATGATGGAGAATTCTTAGACCATGAATTTCCTAGGAGCCCCATCCGCCCATCCCTTTCAAGGTTAATTTTGACAGAAGATCCTTGGAACCCAATACCATCAGGGATTAAAAAGCATTTCCAAATAACTTATGGGAAATTGTTATTTGCCCAACTTATATTATGGGAGATACTTGCAAATACCTTTCATGACTCACTGGGGTTTGCAGGTTGATGAAGGCAGAAGCAGTTGCCTTATCTCCCCATGGAACTCTCTACCCCATTCAAACTAAAATAAATCATAAGACAAATTTTGGAACATTTAGTTAACTCTTGAAAACAAATTCCGAGATATATGAAACTGCTGAAACCCCTTTAGATGTCAAGGAAAGAAAAAATTCCAATGGGGACAACTCTTTAGTATGTTCCATTTTTCTGCATTGGGCAGTTCTAATCTCGACTACCAACTTCTCCAAGGTGTGACAACTCCTTCTTAAACACTGCCTCATGCCAGTATAAGTATCAGACAAGAAATCCAAATTAAGAAAGTAAAACATTGACATACATCTCAAGTTGTAACCAACTGACTCATATTTTAATTGGACAGAAATAAATATGAAATGAAATCAAGAGCACAGTTGTCTCTCCAAACAAATAACCAACTATTTTTTCCAATCCTTAGAAAAAAAAAAAAAACAGCAAAGAAAGAAACTAATCACAGTTGTCTCTCAAAGCAAATGACCAACAATTTTTTTCAATCAGTTTAAAAAAAAAAAAAGGCAAGCAAAGAAAGAAACTAATGATCAACTAGTACCATCTTATTTCTCCCCAAAAAATAAAAAAATTAAAACAAATAAACTAGTAGAATCAATTTTGCAATTAAATATACAGGGAGAAAGGGCCTTAAGAAGGCATTATAAATGAATTTCTAGTAAGTTGTCGAAAATATTTCAAAAGTTGGTCTAATGTAAGTGTCCTTTCAACCTATTTGATTAACCATTCGATACAGGTTTCTGTTAAATCATATAAATTGAACCAAAAAGCAAAAACAATTCATTTTGGATACCACATATAACTTCCAGAACTTTTACTTCTGAACATATTTTTCTTTTTCACTTCCCAAAAAGAGGGAAGAAAAGAAAAACAATGCAAAGCATTCACAAATTAAAAAAGATCCTTTAAGCAAGCAAAAACAGAGTTTACCTCATCATTCGTTATTGAATATTACAACACTTAACGAACAAGGAGCACGACAAAGAGCACGATAAAGAGCACGAATTATGCGGAAAACTGATTCCTCAAAAAAATTATGCCGAAAACTGATAAGCAGAGAGAGAGATTTACCATCCTTTTTTTTATGGAGTGCTGAAGCCATTGCTGTTCTGCTCTGGACTAAGGTTTAAGCTTCCCTACTCTGCAGCAATGTTTTGCGGCCTTTGATGAAGAAACGGGAGTAGAGAGAAAATACAGATGGATAGAGTGCATAAGCAAATGGGCAATAAAAAAATTGAAGGCCACGCGGAACGGAACGGAACGTATAGACCAATTTTACCGGGAACGGACGAGGGCTTTCGTGACGTCAAAACGGGGGAAAACAAATTGAACCGATTTCTTAAATAGCTAAATAAATAAATAATCAAAATAATAACTTAAAAATATAAATATATTAAACAATATTTTTTTATTTTACTAATTGAACTGGTTAAAATCAACTGGTACAACTAATTAAATATAGACAGTTTTAGACTAAAACTTGGTTTATGGCACTAGTTGGAAGTCAGATTAATCTGAGTAATGGTTTGGTTTGGTTTGGTTTTGATAACTATGCGGCAGGAGAATTTTAGAAGCAACCAACTCTTGTTTGCTTGTTTGCCCACTAATAAGAATTCTCAGTGATTTCATTTTGGAAAAAATTCTACTAGAAGATGCACCTCAAAAAATCTACTAAAAGATAGTGTCCTGATGTTCAAAATTAATTATATTGACCTCGAGATGTATGGATATGAATTAAAAACAAAGAAGTTCAAGTCTTAAAATTAGTATGTCTTATAATAAGTTATCTGGACCGTCTATTATTTAAACCACATTCTTGACATTATTTGAATGTAGGCTCTAATTTAATTGTTTAGATCCTAAGCTCCATACAAAACCGCACCCTTAATATATATGGGTAAAGCACTGAATATTTAATAACATGTGTATTTTGACAATTTTCCCATTTTATTTTGTTTGGCTTTCATGAGATCTGTATTCACCTTTCCTTGTGTAAATCTTTAATTAGATTGTTTATTAAACAATTCATCGATTAGGTCAGTGTTTAAAAACCCGAATCGGTCAGGGGAGCCTATCTTCAAGGAAATCGATCTGGATCAATATTCCTGCCAAGAGATTTTCTGTAAATAAAAAATTAAAAGAGTTAAATATAAAATAGAATTTTGAGAAAAAAAAAGAAATTAAAAAAGTGTGAATCGGACACTCTGACCTGTCGTCATGTTCCTTAACAGAAACAACTAGTTATCTGATGTAACAGCTAAATTCGTACGGAATCAATTGATTCCCATTTCTAACTGAGAACCAGCATGGTCACTAGTGGTTTCAATCGAAATCAAGCTTCTTTTAAATTACCAGATTGGACATTAACATTTATTTACTGGATGAGATATTTTCCTTTCTTGTCGGACATAATCCATGTTATTACTTGCGGTTACAGAAATGGACATGGCACGAGTTACAATAGTGGGTACCACGACTTAAGAAATATGATTAATGAAAAAAGTTTATATAAAGTTGCAACATCATATAGGCGCGGCTAAAAAATCTAATAGAAAAGAGTCTTTTAATTTTGGAAAACTTTCTAATCGATCATCTCGATAATGAGATGTATGAGTATAAAGGATAAAAGAATTTCAAGCTCAAAAAATAGTGTATCTTGTAACAAGTTATCTCGACTATATATTTTCAAGATTTTCAACTGTTTATACACATGCTTTATCAAAACTAATTGGAAATTTCCAATTTTATAATTAGAGTTGAATACAAATTTTCAAGCCATTATAAGATTATTAATACTAAAACTACATCTTCGGCAAAATTTAAAAGCATGTCTTACTTGTACAGTATAAGGAGGTGACCCTTTAAATAATTGATAACGCACAACTCATTTTGTATATTATTTAGGTGGTTTTTTCTTATGCACAAGCTTTTGTTACTTCTACATTTATTTATTTATTTATTTTAATGGGGTCGGGTTGTTGAAACCCCTTGCAATATCAATAAAAGGGTTAAGTAATGACAATTTACATTTCAAGTTTGTTTTTAGATTTAAGTAATGACAATTTACATTTCAAGTTCGTTTTTTGAACTTTCTTTGAATCAAGTACATCCTAAGAAAAACCTTAACAAATCTCCAAATTACTCCTGGGTTGGAAGCCTAAATAACTAGGGCATTTTATTATTATTACCCCCCAAAGAAGATTTAACGGAATGATTAAGGGCCCTTACTTTGAGGATAAAATTGCTAAAATACCCATTAATTTTGCATTTTTTGAACCCCAAATAGAGGTAATTTGGGAATTTTATTAGTTTTTTTTTTTTTGGACGATGTACATGATTGAAGTAAAAAGTATTTACATGATTGAAGTAGAAAATTTAAATACAATCTTTAAAATATCAAATTTTGTGATACTCTAAAGGGTCTAGACCCGTTAATTAATATTTTCCCTTTCTTTAAGACTTGTTTAATAGATATGTCAATCTCTGGGATTTATTATCAATCCACAGTGTTGCATGGAGACTGACAAGAGCATGTGTCTACATTCTAGATCTTCATCCAAAAAGCCTATTACGCCATCATGTTAATTGATATGTTTATATATAGAAATGCAGATAATTTGTACAGAGTGTCACGGTGTTTGTGGGGCAGAGCCTTTGCTCCCTAATGGAGGAGTCATCGAGATTGATATTTGAACTTTGAGAAAGTTGCATAATTGTGAGTTGCATGGTAGCAGAGCTTACATTTCATTTCATTCGAAGAGGTCAAAGACTTCCATTGAGAATTCATGAGCTTGAACTTCAAGAAAGTTGTATAATTGTGACACTCCCCCTCAAACTCGAGATGATTTGAAAGGAATCATGGAAAGTTTGGAAACAAACTGTGAGAAAGAATACTAGGGATGAGACTTAGTAAAAAAATCGACGAGTTGTGCTGCGATTAGCACATATAGTAAAGAAATTGTGCATGCAAGATATTCTTGTCGGACATAGTGGCAATCGATTTCAATATGTTTCGTGCGCTCAAGGAATTCTGAATTTTTAGAAATATAAATGATACTCTTGTTGTCATAATAAAGTGGAGTTGGAGTTTAGATAGTGACACTCATGTCTACGAGCAGCCAACGTAGCCAAACAATCTCAGTGGTAGTTCATATCATAGCCCGGTATTCCACTTCCGTAGTTGATTGAGCAATGTGTTTATGTTTCTTTCTTTTCCAAGAGATGAGAGAATCATCGAGAAAAATGCAGAATCCTGTGGTAGATTTGTGATCACTCGGATTTCCTGCAAAAATCGGAGTCTGTCTATGCCTGGAGCTCAAGGGAGGTAGAAGAGGAGAAGAATATGGCTTGTGACGGGTATCCCTGATATATCGAATGATGCGCAAACGACAGCGAGATGTACAGAATGCGGTGCATTAAAAAACTGACTAACCATATGTACTACATAAGCAATATCAGAGCATAAAATGGTCAAATATATCAGTTTCCCAACCATTTGCCTATAAAAGGTTGGGTTAATAAGAGCTTCTCCATCAATATCACGAAATTTGACATTGACTTCAAGAGGGGTATCAATTTTCTTTGTATCATTCTGGAGTCGAGTGTGAGAAACAATCTCTGAAGCATATTTTAGCTGTGACAACAGATGGCCACAAGGAGAAAAGGCAACTTTTAATCCAAGAATATATCGCAAGAAACCCAAATCTTTCATCTCAAAGGTGCTACTTAGCTTCTATTTGATTTTATGAATTGTTCCCATATCATTACTGGAGATAATCATGTCGTCCACGTATAGTAACAAAAAAACTCGTCTTTCAAAAGTCTCAGATACAAAGAGCATTGGGTGATAATGGCTTTGTCGAAATCCAATCGAAAGAACCTCATTACAAAATTTCTCAAACCAAGCACGAGGTGCTTGTTTGTGTCCATATCAGGCTCGTTGAAGTTTACACATGCGTCTTTGTGAAATCCACAACGCTAAGAGGTAACTGCATATATACTTTCGTATCAAGATCACCAACGAGAAAAGAATTTTTTGACATTGATAGAGAGGTCATTGCTAAACAGAAGCTACTGAGATTAGTGTACGAACGATAGTCATATGAGCGACAAGAGCAAAAGTTTTTGCAAAGTTGATGTCATATTCCTGATTGTAACATTTTGCCATCAGGCGGGCTTTGTATTGTTCTAGACTGCCATCTGTATTGGCTTTTATTTTATATATCCATCGACAACCTATAGTAGTTTTTCCTTTCTGGAGAGGTGTTAGGTTCCAAGCATGCATACGATCGAGAGCATTCAACTCATCAGCCATTGTTTGTTGCAACTCAAGTTGACTTGCAGCTTCTTTATAAGTCTGGGGTTCAAAAAAAGAATGAACAGAGGCAAAGAATGCTTGGTGCTGAGGTAAGAAGGTTTCATAGTCAGCAGGTCGAGGAGGTAGAACACAAAGCAAAGAGATCGAAAGAGTAGAGTACCAATTTTAGAGCGACTAGAGAAGGAGCATGGCACCAATGGCAGAGACTTCTGGGCCGAGGTGCTTACACATAGAAGTAGATTAAAGAGAGACTGAGAGCAAAGAACCTTGCTCTGATACCATATAAGAAATAATCATTCTCTGTGTTTTTATTTATTAATAGGATTACAATACAATTTTGTATTTATAGAGAGAGTGCAACCAATACTTACTAAAACTATGGGATACAGTTTCTATATAGGTATAGCATATAATTAGACACTGACAGATCTCAATATTCGGTTGCCATATCTATTGTAGTTGCCATGTCTGTTCACAATATTGTGGTAAGAAATATCTATGTGATTTATTTATTTTTCCAATGTATAAATAATCTTTATAAAACCTACAAACTTGTAATTCTTCCATTGATAGTGAATCATTTTCTCACCAGTTGCCCATCAATGTAGCCCTATTTTGGGTGAACCAGCATATATTGTGTGCTGATGCTGATTTGATTATGGTTTATAGTGTGTGGTTGTGCCATTAGAGTTCCTATTTTACTTTCTATTGATTTCGTCATATCATTACTAGATTTACTATACTACATATTCAACTCTTGGGTATTGGATTTCTTGGAATCACTATGCTGGTGAAAGACAAGTTGGTTTCGAGGTATTAGATTTGTTGTAGTAGGAGGTTCACCACAACAAAGGGCAATCGAGATAGCATCGTTCCCAACAATCTTAACCAGGGTTTAAAAATTCAAAGAGTCGAACCGGACTCGCCCGG